GCAGACGACTGCAGAGATTGTTCTTTCATACTCAATGCTGGTGAGGTGGCTCCAAATGAGGCAACAATGTGCAAGAAGCAGAACATTTGGCTTAATTGCACTGACATTTAAACTGCACAGGTATTTTAAACTATGAATAACTTAATTTGTATTATTACGAAATTAGAATACAATTACAGCTTTTGGAGCGGCCTCCAGTCCGCTTGTCTTTCACATCTCTATTTGCATTGCCCCATAGTTCACTTTAACTGAGTTGAGAGTCGAGACCTGGTTTCAAGGAGGACCAATTAAGCTTTTTTGGTCCAAGTCAGAGTTGGATCTCACATTCAAACCTCCATATAGAACCAAACCTTTAGTCCAAATTAACTATGGTCTGATTAAAGTGGATTAAACAGGGCTGGTGTGAATACGCCCCAAGTCTGTTCTCTCAGAAAACGTTTCCTGAGCCTAACGTCTGATCAGACATTTCACCACACAAATCTCACATTTGAGCTGCAAGCTTTACCGTCCTGGGGGTTCATCCTGTCGTGCATGGATACAGAAGGTTCTAAATATATTATCACTCTCAGGTGATGTGCCTCTGCATGCTCAGCTGTCCTATCCTTTTTTTTTCTTATGCTTTATTTCTCATGAGAAACACTCTTGAGGAAAAACAACTTTAAAAAAAGCTTGTAAAAACAATCAAATTAGCTCTTTTAACCCAAGCTGTATAAATACATGTTTCTCTATATCTACCTTTTGTGCAGGGGTGGAAGTCTGCAGCTGGCGCGAACCTTGACCCTTGAAAGCACAGACACCATCATCATCACTGTCGTTGTCCTCATCAGAGATGGAGATGACATCAGGGCTGGAGTCGATGACAATGACCTCCTCAAAGCGTAATGATGATAACTTCTGACCTTTTGATTTAATTTTCCCTTTCTTCTTTAATGCGGCCTTCTTCTTCACCTTTAAATGGTCATTGCTAGATGGTGTAGGTCTGCTCCCTTTTTTGTATTTCAGTTCTTGGTCTCCATCTCTGGTTTTTTCGAGCACATCTCCCTGCCGGTTTTCCCGACTCTCATACTGCTTCTCTGCTCCTGCCTCCAGCTCCTCGATCTCTCCAGCGTTTGAGGAGTAGTGGAGCTGGCTGTAGAGGTGGAACTCCAGCTCACTGTCGGCCTCCGACAGGCCAGAGTCCTCTTGATAGAGCTCATCCTCCAACTCCTCGCGGTCCTGGTAGGCACTGTACATTACCCCAAAGGCCAGTCAAAACAAGCACTCGCATGAACCCAGCGCCCGCAGAGGAAAAACAGCCAGAATAGAGGATTCAGGGGCCAAAGCTGCAATGACAATGAAAGAAATCAGAGAAAATGAAGACATAATTAAAGCCATAGCAGAGACTATGTTCCTATTAATCCTCAGAGAGATAAATCTATTTTTTTTTTTACTATATTTTCTTCCCACACTCCTTTAAAGTTGTAGGGAAGCAGCTGTTCAAACGGTTGCATTTCCAAATTCTCCGGAGTGGTGCCCGACTTTACACGAGTGAATAAAGGGAATTTGATTGGTGGATTATCAAGGGGGCAGAATTGTTGTAGCGGAATATGCTAAATAAATTACCGCAAACTTATCGTTTTTTATTTTATCTGGCCCTAAGTGGAGGAAATTCACTATTGGTCTATCTAATATTGAACGTATTTCAGAACTGGTCAGACAGCATTACTACTAGTTTGTCTTCTCCTTAGAATCCCTGACTAAAACCATCCTCTGCAGAGAGGCACAGCAGAGGCCCACATCAATTACAGGACGCTTTTTTTATGTCTGGAAACAGAAAGCCTTGTTAGAAAAGCTGAGGCGGCATGGATTAGCTGCACTAAGACTTTAACTTCTGGTATCATCAGACCTGTTCTGATAGGAAGCAGCAGCAGGTCAAAGTCCATCAACAGACAGACGCTGATTTCAACCACTCTGAAGACTCAATCCTCACCCAGCTCTGAAACTGGTAAATCTCCTTGGTACAATCTGTAAAACACTGAGCTTTTAATTTTTTAAGTCTCTGTGGCTCTCTCTTTCTCACACACACAGTATAACAGCATCACATGTACACAGAGTGGACATGGAATGAGCATCGGCCCATTGCTTTCTCCAGCCCTGCGTGTCTGTGCCATGATGGCTGGAGATGATTGGCCCCCAGGCCGCGCACACTGCATAAACGCCACGCTACATGGTCACAAGCCGGCCACCAGGGATTAGAGGGTCAGAAAGAAGAGTCTTAGCTCCTGGTAAGGGGCGTTATGTATTGAAAGTTCAGCAGCACACAGGGACTGAAAAGTTACAAAAGACCAACTGTGTTTATTCCATTTGATTTATTCACGCAAAAAATATCCATAGCATGACATTAAATCAGAGGTGGTGATTTTACCAAGGGAATAAACATAATTGGGACCAGGCAAGAGCCCAGTAACAGTACAAAGATTTTATAAAGACAGTAGGGCGGAAACAATTAATCAGATTAATTGTGATTAATTGATATTTGAAATAATTGTCAACTATATTAGCTTAATTTAACTGGAGTACAGAGATGGTAAAACATGCCTTTAGCTGACACAGTGACACATTTAAAGCAGCCTTGATATCAAAGTAATATTTTTACGTGGTTTGATAATGTAAAGAAATCTTCTTAAAGGAACCTTTGGCTATCCAATTATTAATCGATGAATCAAAAAAAATAATCTACAGATTAATCGATTTGCAAAATAATCGTTAGCTGCAGCCCTAAAAGCCAGGTTCAAAATTCCTCCAATTTCTCATTATGATTTTCTTATGAATTACACTCCCTTTAATGACATTCCAGGTAGAGTGCTAGAAGGACCAGCGTTTTCCAAGGGCTAAATGGCATGAAATAAATCTGCCGCAGTCTCTCCTCACTGGTCATAACATCATAACTTGATAACTATATGTTTTCTTACTTATAGAACAGGCAGATTTATCCTTCTGTAAATACTTGACTGAATATTGATTTGCACTGCCGGCTGTTTATTCACATTACCAATTGTTTACATATGCATTTACAATAACGTACTTTAACTGTAATAGGCAATTACCTTCCACTGCACTTTAATTTAGAGAGCTTCTGTCCAAACTTTATTTATTCATTTTAGAGTAAAATCCATCTGTATATATGCTATTGTTCATAACTGTAAAAATCCCTTTTTATAGTAATATCCACCTGTATATTATATTCGGTACATATCCAGCTGTAAATTTAGTTCATAACACTAGTGATCTATATACTATATTAATCTATTAGTAAGATTCTGTTTATAATGGTATTCATCTCTATACTTATTCAGCAGAAACCCATGTCCTGTATTTATGGAACCATTATTTATCCTGCACTTGCTGCTATTGCACTTCTGGTTAGATCTAAACTGCATTTCGTTGCCTTGAACCTGCACCTGTGTAATGACAATAAAGTTGAATCTATCGGTAATCTAATCGGTCAATAAGAAACTGAAGTCGGTGGCCAAAAAGTAAAAAAAAAAAACTCCACACAGCATTTAACAGATAGAGCAGTTGCCTCCCTAAGGCTGAGGTCACACTGCCAATCTTAACACTCTATTCAATTTGTTCTTGAGATCTGATCTTTAACCCTTGGTTTGTGAAGAATCAAAGATTATATGTATCTAAAACCACTGTTAGACTCCGATGTGAACAGCATAATGCCCTGAAATGACTTGTAGGCAGAAAAAAGGAAGTCACACGCATCTAAACACATTGACTTTAAAGGAAATTCATCAGTGATTGTGGGTCATTAATTTTCATAAGTTTTGATGTAAACTGCAGTCCACTAATGAGTTCTACCATTCTTTTTGATAAAGATCCAACAGTACATTGGTATTTTGTCCCATTTCCTTGATTTAAGTTTATGCTACTGGCTGTAACAATCAGAAAATGTTTGTTTCATATTATGCAGCAGCAGGCTGATGCTGTGTTAGTAGTGATTATGGGGGGGCATGGTCTGACTGTCTCTGTAGAAAAGCAAAACACTGGGGCCTACTAGGCTCTGGATCTAAACAGCTTCTTTTTTTATATAGCTGTCAATGTCTCCTGTTTGGGAACTTACTTCTTTATGACTTTTTAGAAGAAATGTATTCAGCATCAAACAGCTAGTCTCACTAACTGTTTTAAAGAGCGTGAATACATGGAACTCTTGCACTAATTAGCTGACATTTACCGCAGTTCCATTCATGCCTCAGGATTTGCTTTTTTTGCACATAGTGCGTATTGTGTTAAAGATATATTTGTGATATATTGAATAGCTCTAATATCCATGACTAAACTTCCTGTCACCATATAGCCAGAGTTTCATTGGAGAAAACTGTGTTTGATTAGCCTAAATAGAAGTAAATCAACATAATCTAGTAATATTTTTTAGGAACACATATAGCAAGTATCTACCAGCTTGATATGAGAACAAATGGTTTTCTAACCTGGTTAAAAGCAAGTGCACAGGACAAAATTGCTTACAGTAGCCATATAGCTTTACACTGAAGTTTTTGACCATCAATACAATCATGTATCTTTATACTTGAATCTTAAGGTAGGCAGTGTTTAAAATGCCCCAATGCTTTATCTCACTAGCAACACTGTTAGGTAAATATCATCTATAATGGCATAGTATTTACACAATGAGGGAATAAGTTTCTAAGCTGTTAAAAACCAAATAGCTGATACATGTCAGACCACTGGTCTAAAATTTAGACCAACTTTTAAGAAAAACTATTTGTAGCATAGTTTTTAAATCAGAACATAAACGGAATTTCAGGCTCGATCATGCTTCTACCTTTTTATTTTTTAAACCCAGTACATCCGTAATGCTATTTTAATAAAGGTTGTTACCTATAACTCTCTCAAACATACATAAAAATAAAAAAAAACAACTTCAGAAAATACGAGGTTATAGGAAACCGCCTTTATAGAATGTTGCTGAATTAACAAATTGATTACTTAAAAAAAAAAGGAACAAACATAGAGACACAAGTCAGCAAAAGGGTCACGGTGAAATGAAATGGCTTAATGAGGGTTTTAGTAGCTCTGAATTGAGTTAGCTTGTTTGTGGCTTACATGCTAGCATACTGAATCCCTGCCAGTGGTTCCTCCCAGCATATCACACTGTGTATGAATAAAAAATAGGTATAAAAAGACATGAATATCAGTATGTATTTGGTGAACTAACTGCCATTATATAGTTTTAGTTTTCTTTTTATTTCTGACAGTTTGACGCGTTAGCACGTGTGCCTGTGCTCAGCGCACGTGTGCACAAGTAGCCGGTTGGATGTAAACAAAGGAGCACCTTTACTCAAAACCTTGAGAAAACAAGCAAAACACAAAGCTACGACATGACAGCTCATAGCAACCACATAGCAAGATTTTAATTTCGATATATGAACTGCCAGCTCACCTTTAAAGACAGACTGGAGCCTTTAAAGAAGCTCTGCTTCCAATCAGGAGGAGACAGACATTCCACTTCCGGTTTCGTCCGAGAGAGAAAATAAGTCGACTGAAACACTGTCCGGTGTGGAACCTATCCATTGGTTCCCAGTATACACAGACAGTTTGCAAATACAAAACAATCTTCATTTCTGGAATAAATGATGAAATAAAACCCATTGCATTGTTTTACTCTTCATCTTTGTAGTTTCCTGTTGTCTTGATTTACCAACTGAAATATTGCAGGCCTAATTTTTAAAGGCATGTGTTAGGATAATTATCATTGAAGATGAGTACGTTTATTACACCTTGGTATTGGCTGCCTGTTGCGTGTCAGAACTGATGTTTTCCACAATAGTTTATCTGGTTAAGACGGTTCCTCTGTCCGGATATACAGTTATAATCTTTATTCTGCACACGGCAAAGATTTGGAAATGGATGAGAGCCGTGTCCTTCAGCTAAGAACAAAGTGTAATGTTTTGATAAGGTTGGAGCCATGGATGTCTAATAATCTGCTAACCTGTATGATGTAAAATATGATGATGTGGCAGACTGGAGATGTATAAAATGCTTTTTTAACTGTTAATCTGGGCCACTTCCTGAGAGGTGAGCCTGGAGTTGAGCAGCTGTCTTCTGTATATTCTAAGCAATTTCTCTTATCTGAGTAAGATTGCAATTTCTATCAGAATCTTTTGTCATGTCTCCTGGTTATTCAATACATATAAGTTATGAAGTGTTATTTAAAGAGTTTGTTTCGACTGATCTCTTTTCAGGGAAAAGAACCAGAGAGATAGAGCGTCAAGGTGCATACAAATCTTTAACACGTGTTTCAGGTAATTTGGGACAATAT